CAGCTGTTCTCACCCACAGCACCAGAGCCTCATATGCTGGGCTTACCCAGTCTGAGGGAAGCAGGGCTGCTGCACCCATGGGAGAGCGTGCGTCCTGCACATGGGCTCCGGCTAAAGAGAGTGTGTGGAGGTAAAATCTAACTGGTTGCCTCTGCACCTTGGTGTTGTTACCTTCAGTCACCCAATAAGCATTCTTTGCATGCCTTGCCAACTTCATTGTGCCACTGAATGAAGCCCCAAGAAATTATACATCTGTCCCCATCAGAGATCCACTTGCAGGATTCATCCTCTAGAGCGACTCAGAAATAGTGATCTCTCTGACAGACACAGAGAGTGTGGTCTATGGGAAGGGCCGGTGCCGGAGGCAGGATCTGATTTGAGTTTCACTACCTCTTGCCTTAGCCAGGAGGCTGGGGCAAGTTGCTTGACCTACCAAGCTGCAGTTTCCTCTGCTGCAAAATGGGTATCATGATATCCAGCTCAAAGCATTGTTGTAAGGACAGAATACAATCATGGGTGTGAATGTACTTTGTCCGATACAGACACAGCTGCTGCTATAGCTGCCTCCAGCCACGTCTGGGAGCCACCCTGGAGCATGCTGAGAGAACTTTTTTTCCTCTTTTTTTTTTTCATGCTGAGAGAATTTTTGACACCTCTGGGCAATCCGTGGAGGAAACGAAGATACCTTAAAAAACAAGAAAGTAGCTTAGAGAGACGGAACCTTTCTTGTTCCTGAATATCTTGTCTGCTACTTTTTCCTTGAACTTTGTTATACTCTCTGAAATCCATTCATCAAGAGATCTACCTAAAAATTAGCCAATCCCATAGGCCTATACCATCATTCATTCACTGCTTAGTATGAATTACTTCAGAAGCTTGCTTGTCTACTCCCACTCAGCTAAGATCAGCTTCATGGAAAGAGTGCCAGTGTTTGTTGGCAGTAGAAGATGAAGATTAGAATATCTTTAACACAATGTTTTGAGGAGGTGAGCCAATGGGGTACCAGAGGACAGGTTTCTAGCCATCGTTGTTAATCTTTTCTAGGCCCCAGTCTTTTGTGAATCTGAGGGAAGCTTTATCTACATCATCCCAAACATAGTTTCAGAAGATTTGAGCCCTGAAGTCCTAGAGGCCAGAGGCCTCAGACTTAGAATGCTGACTGCGGATGACTTAGGGACCCGGGGCTTGTGAGAAGAGGGCTGGGCAGAGTCAACAGGGGGCACCAAAAAGGAGAGGCTGACAGAGGCTGTGCCCACCCGTCTCGGAGCATTGCCAGGTCTCGTTCTGTCCCCTGAGAGCAGAGGAAGGTCTCTTGTTTGTCCTTCTTGAATCCTGTGGACTCTTCTCCACCAGAATACAGATCTTAACTAAATTGGTCTTCGGGACCAGCCCAGGAAATTGTTAAAAAGAATTATGGGAAGGGCCGGTGCCGGAGGCAGGATCTGATTTGAGTTTCACTACCTCTTGCCTTAGCCAGGAGGCTGGGGCAAGTTGCTTGACCTACCAAGCTGCAGTTTCCTCTGCTGCAAAATGGGTATCATGATATCCAGCTCAAAGCATTGTTGTAAGGACAGAATACAATCATGGGTGTGAATGTACTTTGTCCGATACAGACACAGCTGCTGCTATAGCTGCCTCCAGCCACGTCTGGGAGCCACCCTGGAGCATGCTGAGAGAACTTTTTTTCCTCTTTTTTTTTTTCATGCTGAGAGAATTTTTGACACCTCTGGGCAATCCGTGGAGGAAACGAAGATACCTTAAAAAACAAGAAAGTAGCTTAGAGAGACGGAACCTTTCTTGTTCCTGAATATCTTGTCTGCTACTTTTTCCTTGAACTTTGTTATACTCTCTGAAATCCATTCATCAAGAGATCTACCTAAAAATTAGCCAATCCCATAGGCCTATACCATCATTCATTCACTGCTTAGTATGAATTACTTCAGAAGCTTGCTTGTCTACTCCCACTCAGCTAAGATCAGCTTCATGGAAAGAGTGCCAGTGTTTGTTGGCAGTAGAAGATGAAGATTAGAATATCTTTAACACAATGTTTTGAGGAGGTGAGCCAATGGGGTACCAGAGGACAGGTTTCTAGCCATCGTTGTTAATCTTTTCTAGGCCCCAGTCTTTTGTGAATCTGAGGGAAGCTTTATCTACATCATCCCAAACATAGTTTCAGAAGATTTGAGCCCTGAAGTCCTAGAGGCCAGAGGCCTCAGACTTAGAATGCTGACTGCGGATGACTTAGGGACCCGGGGCTTGTGAGAAGAGGGCTGGGCAGAGTCAACAGGGGGCACCAAAAAGGAGAGGCTGACAGAGGCTGTGCCCACCCGTCTCGGAGCATTGCCAGGTCTCGTTCTGTCCCCTGAGAGCAGAGGAAGGTCTCTTGTTTGTCCTTCTTGAATCCTGTGGACTCTTCTCCACCAGAATACAGATCTTAACTAAATTGGTCTTCGGGACCAGCCCAGGAAATTGTTAAAAAGAATCACTTGTTTCCATGGGAAAATGTGATCTAAGTTCCAAATAATAATACGTCTACCCACTAACGCCCAAGTTTCGGGTATGAAACAAGCTTTTAGCACTGATGGGGCTGACAGTCTAACTGGGGGAATACATTATACACATAACGGTGAGTGGCCAGCCCATAATGTGATCGAGTACTATTATACAAATATACACACTCAAGGAGCTTGAGGGCGGAGGATTCGATTCAGGTGAGAGGAGTCTGACCATCCGTGCTGGTCTGACACGTCCGGACTAATGCAGGCAGGACTGGGTGTCACATTTCAAAAAGGCCTTTGACAAGCTGTGTCCAGAGAAGGGCAGCCAGGATGGGGAATATCTGTTCAAATGACTCTAACAGGAAACATGTCACATGATGAATGGTTAAGGGGACCGAGGATGTTTGATCTGTAGAAAAGATTGGTTCCTTTAAGGCAGCATGGAAGGAATAGTACAAGGAGTAAGGGCTTTGGAGGCAGACAGACCTGAGATAGATCGAAGTTCTATTTTTCACTTGTTAGATGACCTTGAATGTGTCAATTAACTTCTCTGATGTTAATTTCCTCTTCATAGAGCAGAGATAATAATATCTACCTATGGTGAAGATGATCAGTAATATGCTATAAAGCACAATGACTGACAGACGGTCTAGCACAGAGGTAGAGTGGACTTGGTTAAAGACACTGGGGGCATGAATCCTACTTACTACTTCTAAGAACTTCTATTCTAACCTGGGGCCAGTGTTTTAACCTCTCTGGGCTGTTTTCTGATGTGTAAAATGGGAACTCTGATACCTGTTTCACAGGTGCCTTGAGAATTCAATGAGATCACATGTCAACTGCTTCCGCAGACTGTGATTACTGTACCTATTCAAAGTTAGCCAAAAACTGTAGGCATGTCATGCGTGGTGACTCTTATTATGAAGTGAGAGGAGGCGCTGTTGACTCTGTGTGACCAGAGGACAGTGCGTGCTCTCAGGCTGGATTAGTAGGGAAACAGACTTGAGTCCAACAGAAAGAATTTTGCAATGATCGGAGCAAAGGGCTGCCATACCAAGTGGTGTTGGCACCACTTTTCCAGGATGGCACATATAGAAAATGGTAGTAAACCAAGTAGTCTGCTTATAGCTGGAAACCAGCCAGGGGCTCTCACTGCCCCAGATCCCACCAAGACCCCCTGTGGCTGAGGATGGCAGTATCTCTGCACACCCATAACTTCTTTGGGACACTGTGCTGAAAGGGTGGGTGGAAGGATGCCTGCCCTGTGGGACAGGCTGGATTCAGGGACCTCTAAGGCTCTGTTCAACATCAAGATGTTGGTTAACAGGGTGTGGCAGAGGGCTGGGCCTGGAAGGTTGGCCAGGGTTTAGGACTGGGAAGGGAGAGAAGAAGGAGTCATTTGAATAAGCATTTTCTCCCAGCTGATCCCGTGTCTGGCCTGTGAGTCTTGCTGACCAGAGGGGCTCTTCCTAGCTGTTGTTGCATGAAATCCTCTTCGCCCCTTGCAGTCATCCTTGTTGTTGGGGAATGGTGTGGCCCCCTGTGTTCTCTCCCATGCAACTCAGACACCTGTACCTGTGGAGCTTTGGTGGAAGGCGACCAGGAGCTTGGAAGTCAGGCCAGCTTTGTTCTTGGCTACATTCATCTTCCTGTGCCCGAGAAACATTAGGTCTTGGCTGCCTGCCTGTGACATGAGAGTGTTTTCTCCCACCCATGCTTCCCTGTAGGGATGTAGGGAGAACAGACCCCTGGGAGCTACCCTTCAACTCCCTGGCAAGGATTGCAGAGTGTGGAAGGGAGCCCTGGGGCAGTGTGGCCCAGGGCATGTGCCGTACTGGCCGCTTCAGCAGCAGTGCATCCCAGGACGGAGGCAGGCCTAGTGGCCTGCTTTGGAGAATGGGCCTTGTTGACAGGCTCGTCAGCCACAGGGTCAGATGGGCTGTGCAGAGAAGAGAGGGGCGTGGGGGATCCCTGGCTTGCACTGAGCCCCAGGACACTCCACAGAAGCCTGCAGCCCTCAAAGATTTCACCTGAAAAGTGGCCAGGAGAGAATTACACCTGCACAGCCTTCCCCAGGAAGCCTGAGACCCAGGTGAGAGAAGACACCGCATCTCCTGTGCTCAGGGGCTGGAGCAGGCCCAGCACACAGGAAACCATTTTTAGAAGGAGCACATTTACACGGGCACCAAAGGGGCCACAGGGGGCTCTTGCCATCTGTCTAAGAAACAACCTGTGGCTTTCACAGAGATGGCGCCACGTGCCAAGCAGCAGATTTATTTCCGTTATTTATTTATTTAACAAACGTTCATGGAGTGTTCCAGGCACTGCTCTAAGCACATTTCAAACAGTAACTCATGTCATCTTTATTGTGGCCTTGAAGTAGGTGGGATTATTTTCCCCATTTGACAGGAGAGGAAACTGACTGACTAGTCCCAGGTCCTGAGCTGCCGAGAGCTGAGGATTCAAAGCAGATCGTCTGGCTCTAGAGCCCAGGCACTCACCTACCTCTCATTATGCTGCCTCAATGGGACCTCAAGAGAGCCAACCTGTGTACCTGATTCTCTGTAGAATTTCTGGGGGTTCCAATTGCTCATGTGCCCCCACCCCCTCCCATCCACAAACGCACATGAAGGGAATGGTGATGAGCACCAGTTACCCCTTAGCTTCCTATGATCATTCATTCTTCCAACAAGTGCTCATTGAGCACTTAATATGTGCCAGGCAGCTCCTCGGCCCTGATGGGTGGCTCGGGGGGTGCTGGGAGAGAGAAGGCCGTGGTCCCTTTTCTTACAAACCCGCAGCCTCTGGTTCCGGGGACACAACGCAGCAAATTATCCCCACGGTGTGTGGAATCCCAGGGAGGGTGAGTGCTCAGAGCTCACAGCAGGGGTGTCCAGGTGGCCTTCATTTCAGGGTTGGGGCAGGCAAGGAGGACAGTCTTACTGTTGTGTGAAGGATGGACTGAAATAGAAACCAGAGGGTAGGAGAGTCATTCCTGAGCTTGCAGGAGGCTGATGATATTTGCCGGGAAAAACTATACAGCAATGAAAATGAATAGCTACGGTTACACAGAACAAGCACAGGTGGATCTCACAACTGTACTGTGGAGTGAAGTACTCTGATATAATCTATTTGTATAGGCTCCAAACACCTGGAAAAATGAAGCCATAATGTTTAAGGATATGATATAGACAGTAGAACTACAAAGACAAACCAGAACGGAATTGCCATAAAAACCAGGTTATCTTTGGGGAGGATATCGCTGCGGCTGGTGTAAGGGAGGTGGTAGAGGGGATGTTGGGAGTGCCAGCAGTTTCCTGTTTTTTTGACCTGGGTGGTGGTCACGTGGGTGTTTGTGATGCATGAAGCTATATATCTTAGTTCTTTATACTTCTCTCTGTGTGAACAGTTATGAGGTTGGGGGAGTAAATGGCATCTTAGTTGTGATGAAGTATGGGTGTTTTGGGGCCCCTCACTGTCCTGACAGCCTCCCCCCAGGCGGCCTCTGACCTCCCAGAGCAATGCCCACAGAGTGTGACCCGCGGCAGGCCCCACGCCCGCAGTCAGTCAGGAGCAATTAGGGAAGAGGGCGTGCTTGGCTCCAGGGTGGCTCTGGTCCCTGCAGGAAGCGGGGCAGGAAAGCTGGCCCCAGCCCTGCTCCACCAGCAGCAACAGGCCACTGATGCCTGCAGGCTACTGCTTGCTGCGGGTTATGTCCCTCGGTGACCTGGCCAGCCTTGTGCTTGTTGATGGGCTAGGAAGAGGAAGGACAGTCTCGTGGTGGGCACTGAATGGAAGAAGTGGCCACGGACCTATGAACCAGCCCTGGCAAGGGTTCATCAGAGGATCCCGGGCAGAACTCACTCTCAAATACGCTTTCAGCTTCAATTTAGACCAAGCAAGACTTGAGTTACATGGCAACAAAGGGAGATGGCAGAGAGAGGTGAGAGTGGGTTCCAGTTATATTTCAGAGGGACCTCCAGGTGGCAGCTGTGGCAGCCCAACACACCTGCTCTGTGTAAATGCTGCACCCCCTTCTCGGGAGACTGCACACACAACTACAGACTATCTGGCAGGCCTCAGTGCATCGGATACAGCGAGTCCATGGAACGTGCGTGTGTTTTGCCAGCATTGTCTCATTAAATCAGCCCCACAGTCCAACAGGTAGGCACTGTTTAGTTATTTCCATTTTAAACCAAGGAAACAAGGATGGAAGGCACAGAACAACAAACTGTCAAGGTCACACAGCTGGTCAGGGTGTGTGAAGGATGGGCCTCTCCGAAGGGACCCTGCCTAGTCACGGGAGGCTCCGTGCTGGCCCTGAGAGGGAGCAGGTGTTCTGGTCCATTCTGTGTCTCTTTCTCAAGGAAGAATTGTCCTTTCTCAAGGAAGAGTTCCTCCAAACACTGATCAGAGAGCAGCCACCCTGACTCGCTGGCTTACCACAGGCCCACTCGACTCTTCTCCTGTCCTTGGCCCCGAGCATTTCCAGTCACACTAAAAATAGCACTGACCAAGCCCAGGCCTGTCCAGGAGCCAGGACTATTCTGACTCTGTCCTCAGGAATCATCTAGTCTGAGGCGTGTATGAGCTGGACTGCTCCCATGAGCACTCAGATGTGGGGCCAGGAATGTTCTGGCACACACACCTCTCCCCAGAGCTGGGCTCAGTGCCACTACGCACCCCACAGCCTCCACCATGTGCCTCCTGAGACACTGGCTCCAGGAGGAGGGTGTGGAGGCCTTGCACTGTGCAGAATAAGGGGTTTATGTCTTTATCCACAAGAGAACAAGCAGCTGGTTTCAGCCACACCGCCTCTTACCCCTGCCCACTGAACGGGAGCATGTTCATCTACGGGTCTGTAACATCCACTCGGAATGGAGGCCTGCACCAGAAGCCGCCTAAAGGCAGCAGACATCACCCTCCCATGGGAGGCTGAGGATTTCCTTCTCTGAGTGTCTCTACTTGTGGAAGAGATTTGCATCTGCCGGGCTTGCATGTACGTCCTAGTGTCAGGCTCCTGCCTGGAATGCCCATCCCCTCCTTTACTGGGATGGCCTGGCCACACTGCAATGTTCAACTGACATCCCGTCTCTGTGGGGAAGTCCCCTGACCAGTTCAGCCCACCTCCTCTTAGCACCCAAATGGTAGACACCCTCTGTAGAGGTTTTTCCTCTGCCCATAGCCTTTCCCTCTAAGTGGTGAGCTGTTGTGGCCACGGCTGTCTCCCTCGCCAGCACCCGGAGTGCAACAGCTCACCAGCCAATCGGCAAACCCAGCTTGCTCTATTCCAAAAACAAGCTGGTTCACTCATCTGTACCATGCACAAATATCGGACGCCGCCTCTGCCTGTTCTTGGCTGGGCACCGGAGATGCCATGTCTAGTGAGACTGGGTCGCCTCAGTAGAGTGGGAGACACCACCATACAGTGGCAAAGTGCAATTATTCACATGCTGTGGTGACCAACTTTGCCCAGATTGACCTGTGACAGGTCTTCACAGAAGCTCAAAACCCGTGCAGGGGGAAAGTGGAAGCAGCACACCCAGAAAGGCTCAAAAGTTGCCATATTTTTGCTCTGTTCTCAGACCAGCTGGCCATGGACAGGGAGGCTGTTTGGCTCCTCACCATGGTGGGGAGATTGTCCTCCATGGAGCAGGAGAGTGGGGCCTGGGCACCACCCCTTCCCCAAAAGGTGTCAGGACACCTGGAGCCCCTGTGCCTCTGCCCCCAGGGGCCTGCCGTCTCTCCTCCCAGCCTCCCTCTGTTCCTTCCCAGTCAGGATAAAATCGGCCCCTGTGATCCTCCTTGTTAGAATCTCAACATTGCATGAATCTCCAGACCCAGCTGCCCTAGCAGGGCGGCCGGGGTCAGAGGTGTGGATTAAAACAATACATGATGCTGATTGCCTCAGTCAGGGGATGCTGAGGCCAACCGAAGAGGTTGCTGTCCTTTGTCACTGATAATGAGAGTGCTCCCAGGGCTGTTGATCTCCAACTCATTCCTTAGAGAGCTCTAAGCACCTGGCTGGCATCACCAATAGTAATAGTGTGAAAAACCACCTCTTCCCAAGCACTTTACAAGTAGAATTTGATTTAATCATGAGGCGACTTTATGACGTAGGGTGAAATGACGTGCCTGAGGTCTCACAGTTGGTTGTGACATGAGCCCCAATCTTTCTGGACTTTAGAAAGCCCAAGCACCATATTCCAGTCGTGAGGAATGGTCCTGGTCTAAGGATGCTGGACAGCTTGGCCCTCTGCCCCAAGAGCCCCCAATCTCCCCTAACTTCCAGGGCAAGGCTCTGACCCGTTCAGACACCTGCCACACCTTTACTGCATACCTGCTGGGTGCTTTGCAGAGGCCTGGGAAAGATGCATAGATGCACAGACCCAGTTATCAGGTAGCTTCCATCCAGAGGAACCCAGAAGGACCCCTATCCCAGTACCAACCAAAACTTCCCATTCTTTAATGTGACCTGCTCAGTCTTCCCACGCTCCAGCCAACACCTGTTTCCCCTTCTTCTAAGCTTCTAGGGTGCTTATCACCCAAATCACACTCCTACTGATTTTTTTCATTCAGCAGTCATTTGTGTCATTTGTATGTGGAAGGCACTGGGGATACATTAGTTAAGGCATGGCCTCTGCCCCGCGGAGCACAATCTGAGAGAGGGAGACAGACATGTCCGAGCGGGACTGATATGTGTGTGGCCTGCGGCAGACACCTGCACCACTTCCTCCTCCCCACACAGGCACACCGGCACACTCTTGGGAAGTACCATCATGAAGTAAGGGGAGGAAGCCAGAAGGACCGAGTTCCAGGCTGGTGCCACCGTCTGGAAATATTGGAGAAGTCTTTCAGTTTCTTCATTCTGTAAAGTGGGAATAACAATACCTTACTTGCCGATCTTACAAAGTTTTAATGATATGCTTTCTTTGGTTTTTTTTGGTATCATTAATATACAATTACATGAGCAACATTGTGGTCACTAGATTCCCCCCATTATCAAGTCCCCACCACATACCCCACTACAGTCACTGTCCATCAGCATAGTAAGATGCTGCAGAGTCACTACTTGTCTTCTCTGTGCTATATTGTCTTCCCCGTGTGCCCTCCCCCTACGTTGTGTGTGCTAATTGTTATGCCCCTTATTCCCCTTCTCCCTCCCTTCCCACCACCCTCCCCAGTCCCTTTCCCTTTGGTAACTGTTAGTCCCTTCTTGGGTTCTGTAAGTCTGCTGCTGTTTTGTTCCTTCAGTTTTGCTTTGTTCTTATACTCCACAGATGAGTGAAATCATTTGGTACTTGTCTTTCTCTGCCTGGCTTATTTCACTGAGCATAATACCCTCTAGCTCCATCCTTGTTGAAAATGGTAGGATTTTTCTTCTTCCTATGGCTGAGTAATATTCCATTGTTTATATGTACCACATCTTCTTTATCCATTCATCTACTGATGGACACTTAGGTTGCTTCCATTTCTTGGCTATTGTAAATAGTGCTGTGATAAATATAGGGGTGCATATGTCTTTTTGAAACTGGGCTCCTGCTTTCTTAGGGTAAATTCCTAGGAGTGAAATTCCCTGGTCGAATGGTATTTCTATTTTTAGTTTTTTCAGGAACCTCCTCCATACTGCTTTCCACAATGGTTGAACTAATTTACATCCCCACCAGCAGTGTAGGAGGGCTCCCCTTTCTCCACATCCTCGCCAACACTTGTTGTTGTTTGTCTTTTGGATGTTGGCCATCCTAACTGGTGTGAGGTGATATCTCATTGGGGTTTTAATTTGCATTTCTCTGATGATTAGCGATGTGGAGCATCTTTTCATGTGCCTGTTGGCCATCTGAATTTCTTCTTTGGAGAAGTGTCTGTTCAGCTCCTCTGCCCATTTTTTAATTGGATTATTTGCTTTTTGTTTGTGGAGGCACATGAGCTCTTTATATATTTTGGATGTCAACCCCTTATCAGATCTGTCATTTATGAACATATTCTCCCATACTGTAGGATGCCTTTTTGTTCTACTGGTGATGTCCTTTGCTGTACAGAAGCTTTTTAGTTTCATATAGTCCCACTGGTTCACTTTTTGCTTTTGTTTCCCTTGCCTGGGGTGATATGTTCATGAGTGATATGCTTTCTTAATCAGAGTACATGAAAACATTTCACAGATTATAAAGTATTATACAAGTAGTAGGTATCATTATACTTATCTTCTGTCTCCTAGGATGCCTGCATAAATCTGGGCACATGGTAGATATTCAATAAGTACCAGCTCATTTAAATTGAATTGATTCATTCACCCCATTTACCACCCTCTAGGAGTCTTGTGGGCTTTGGAGGCCATTGTGAATCTAGTACTAATAATGCCTGACCTGCCGGTGGGGGTTTCGGCTGCCTCGGAGGACAGTGAGGACACAGAAGTGCCTTGGAAGCTACCGATGTTGACTGTACTGACTCTTAGGAAACCACCTTGGTCCCCATCATGGGGGCCTGGGCTGAGGGCCAGGGGCCCCAGATGTAGAGCCACAGCCATGGGGCAGCCTCACTCCAAGCCATAGGCCCCATTCTTTTGGGGGAATAAACTACACTTTCCCCAGTCTGGGCTTCCAAACCACTGGGGTTGCCTGGCCCGGGAGAGTGCCTGTGACTTGGGCATGGTCACTAGAGGGACAAGCCACTGTGTGCCCAGCCCTTATTAGCCCTTCACTTCTCATTTCAGCACCCCTACCCCACAGAGGATGAGAAGAGGCAGATCGCAGCCCAGACAAACCTCACCCTCCTGCAAGTAAATAACTGGTGAGTTAGCATCACCTGCCCAAAGGTGCTCAGATCTGGGGGCCACTGCTTGGCAGGGGAATGCATAGCAGGGAACCAATGCCCAGTCCTGCCTCAGTCTCAGCCCAGCTACCACACCAGACCTCCCCATGGGCCAGAAGCAGAAGGCCAGAATCAACACAGCTGCCTATAGCTGCATTTGCAGCTTCTCAGCGCCCTCTGCTGGGAAATTGCACGTCAGGAACATCCCTGGAAGCTTATTACTGAGTAGAAAACCCAACCCCATGGGCACTGCAGAGACACCCAGGAAGGAAGGTATGCATCCAGGGGCTGCAGGGGCTGCCAGTGGTCATCTGGTCTACCCACCACCTGAGTGAACTGAACTCAAACTAAAAAAGCTGGGAGTGGGGAAGAGGAGGAAGAATTGACTGTTCTGACCTCACAGGGGTCTCAGTTTTCCCCTTTCCTGCGTCTGGCTGGGCTGTCATAGAAATCTCCAACAGCAAGGTCTGCTTGGATGGGAATAGACCCAAGACTTGGGTGCCCTGGAGAGAAGTCAGGTTAGCGCTGTTGACTAAGGGGACTCTTCCCTCCTTTGTTCAGTCCTCAAGTAGCAATTTCTGACCCTTCTCAGGCACTCATCCCAGGGTTCTTGTGGTTACCAAGTCCCAGGTGATTCCATGAGTTCCTCAGTGCCCAGGGCTGCTCTCCCAGTGGGCTAAACTAAAAAAGCTGGGAGTGGGGAAGAGGAGGAAGAATTGACTGTTCTGACCTCACAGGGGTCTCAGTTTTCCCCTTTCCTGCGTCTGGCTGGGCTGTCATAGAAATCTCCAACAGCAAGGTCTGCTTGGATGGGAATAGACCCAAGACTTGGGTGCCCTGGAGAGAAGTCAGGTTAGCGCTGTTGACTAAGGGGACTCTTCCCTCCTTTGTTCAGTCCTCAAGTAGCAATTTCTGACCCTTCTCAGGCACTCATCCCAGGGTTCTTGTGGTTACCAAGTCCCAGGTGATTCCATGAGTTCCTCAGTGCCCAGGGCTGCTCTCCCAGTGGGCCTGCACACCTAAGATCAGACTCCAGCCTGTTCTGTAAAGTGAATTAGTGCTGAGAGTCTTGAATCCACTAGTCCTCTCTGCGCACGCACACATACCATCACCTGAGTGGTGGCTAACCAGTCTCTACTTTTACCCCTGGGTAGGTTCATCAACGCTCGGAGGCGTATCTTGCAGCCCATGCTTGATGCCAGCAATCCAGACCCTGCCCCTAAAGCCAAGAAGATCAAGTCGCAGCACCGGCCCACCCAAAGATTCTGGCCCAACTCCATTGCTGCGGGTGTGCTGCAGCAGCAGGGTGGTGCCCCAGGGACAAACCCCGATGGTAAGAACTGGGGTTGAGCATTCTAGACCGAGGTGTGGGGGTCTGGTGGATGGACCTCCTGGAGCTCTCGAGATAGGCCATGCAAAGATTCAAGGGCTGAGCTATCCCAGCAGTTATCCCTCCCTGATCCCCATCAAAGGTGTGTGCGCCTAAAAGAAGGGGACGTTTCTGCACATGTTTTAACAAGCAGTGATGAGTGGGAGTGGGCAGTCATCTAAGTCAATGACTGCTCAGCAGAGCCCTCTCCTCACGCCCACACCCACCGTCAGTTCCTTAGCACCCATCAGTGTCTGCACAGGGCCATCTATAAATACTGATGCAGGCAGCTGGCTTGTGAACGGAGGCCAGGAAGCGCTTTGTTTTCCCAGTTTCTCCATCACACCCTCCATATACACTTTTCTAATTGCCGGTCGCCTAGTGCACAATGAATAATTCAATGAACCAGACACTTTATAGCTTGGCACATGAAGATAGCTCTGTGTGGGAAGGAGGGGAGGTGTGCATCTTGCATACATACCTTCATGTGTATGTGCATTTATATGTTTGTGTACAGGCTCCTATGTGATGGGCAGTTGTCTCACGGGGTGTATTGGAAATAAACAGATTTTGAGCTAGGCTAACCAAGGAGAGAATCGCAACTCTTTCATGCCTGACTCTGCCACCTTGAGCTAATGTTTCCACTGCCTAGACTCAGTCTGTCCTCTTTAGATGAGGATGATAATACCTACCCTGCAGAACTGTTAGAATAACAATACACCTTCACATAGAAGATGCTCAGTCAGTGGTAACTGCGAGTGCTGCTGCTTGGGAGAGGTCAGGGAGTGGCTGGCAAGCAAATGGATGGGGGAAGATGTCCAGCTCAGCTGCTCACTGCCCCCTAAGCCAGGCCCTTCAATTCTGTCCTGGGCCTGACGCTTACCTTCCTCTCTCACGTAGGTTCCATCAACTTGGACAACCTGCAGTCCCTGTCCTCAGACAATGCCACCATGGCCATGCAGCAGGCTATGATGGCTGCACACGATGACTCATTGGATGGGACAGAAGAAGAGGATGAGGATGAGATGGAAGAGGAGGAGGAAGAGGAGCTGGAGGAGGAGGCTGATGAGCTTCAGACGACAAATGTCAGCGACCTGGGCTTGGAACACAGTGACTCCCTGGAGTAGTCAGGCACCCCGATGGCACTGGTCACCAAGCGGGAGAGGAGTGTGGTCAGGAGGGCTTCAGGGTGGGGGGAGGGGACACGGGCAGGAAGCACCAAGGAAGTTGGGCCCTAGCTTCCCCAAATCAGCAGCTTGAAGAACCACCTGCTCCCTCCCAACCACCAAGCTTCAAGGGGTACCCCAGCCCCACTTCCCTAGAACTGCGGGGACTCCGTTTGGTGGGGCCAGCCAAGCAGCCTGCACGGAAAGGCAGGAGTGAGATCTAGACTCACAAATCCGGGGACAGATGGCACCGAGGGCCCCCTCCTGAAGGACCTGAGCTGTTTACAAGCCTGCACTGTGAGGCACGGTGGTGCTGTTCGCAGAGTGAGCCTTTGCGGGAGACAGAGTGAGACAATGTGAGCCTGGGTGCCACCCCCAGGAGGTCCTCTGCTCCTTTGAGAGACGTCCACGGGCAGGAGGGGGCCCAAACGCATCACCAGTGGCTGGAGGATGGGAGGGCCTGAGGCATCACATCGTGCAGACTGGAGGAGGACCTGGTTCCCCAGGCTCCAGCTTGCCCCTCCAAGGCCTGTCTCTGGGCACAGGTGGCCATGGGCTTGGGAGAGAGGGACAGGAGCCCCAGAACCACCTTCTCTCTCTCTGCTGGAAACAAATGGTAAGCTGGTGGGCTCAAATTGTAGGAGGTTAAAACAAGTCCCTTTACCTCAGTTGGCTCTAAGACCCAAGGAAGTGGCAGAACCCGGGCTGGGAGCCGTGTCAAGGTCACTCGGGGGACCACAGCCATCCCCAGGTAGTCAAGTTCTCAGCTCCTGTAACAAGAGGACAGCGGTCTGACCCCAGATGCTCCAGCCCCGCCCAGACCGTCAGGGTGGAGCCGGGGTAGCTGGGAACCTTTCCACCCCGGAGGCTGCCCGCGACTGTCCCTCCCTCCCAGGTTGGCTCCATCCGCCTCCATCCTCTTTCATTTCATCCTTCAGAGGCAGAGGAAACAGTGGAAAGATGCCTCAGCCCAGTGGGAAGCCAGGGGCTGGAGAAGGTGCTACATCCCTTATCCAAAGCGAGGGGGAGGGCCCAGCGCGATGGCACCCGAGGGCCAAGGGGTGCCCTACACACCATGAGTACACACAGCTCCAGAGGGCCCGGGGCTCTCTTGAGGAGAACGCTTTCTGCCATCTGCCCTGACCCACACCCCCCCAGCCCCACTTCCAGGCCTCCAGGATTGGCACCCCCTCCTCCCCTCCGCACTCACCCCTATGGCTGTGAATGACAGGACTGATCAGACATGTGTTTTCCATTGGATTTAATTTAATGGACTTGCAGTTTCATTCATAAATTGTGCGTTGGCCATCAGCGGCAGGATGCGAATGGCTACCTGGCTCGACAGGAGGGGACCCTCGGGGCCCTCTGGGGCCTTCCCCTCCCACCCTGGTTGGGGTGAGGCAGAAGGATGGCCACTTTCCTGAGGTCTCCCTGAAATGAATGTATTTCTCCCTCAAAAGAGCTGATATATAATGTTTTAATAGGGATTTTTGAGAAACAAATGAACTTATTTATAATCTGGTGATCCAATCATTTTTTCACTCCCTTTTGATGCCATAGGTAGAGGAGATTCTAGCTTTTTTGGCGTGAGAATTTTGCCACGTGTAGTGGGATAAAATACGTTTCCTCTTCTGTTTCGTTTTTCTTGTTCTCACACACACACACACACACCCTCCCACTCACCACTTTGGACAGGCAATCCACCCGACACAGGTGTAGCCGCTCACACGTGCCCACATGCCCTCTTCCCAGGCCCTCCACCTGCCTAATGTTATGCAACCTCCTGATGTATCCACCAACCCAGTACTGAATGTGGCCAAGAAGTTTTCAGTAAATCTTATTACCTACCGGAATTCTGGTGCGAGATTCTCTGTTTCTGTGAACAGTGGTTAGTGGGGCCCCAGACCAGAGAAAATTTGGAGGCCTCAGCACCCGCCCCCCTTGTTGAATGACTCCCCGTGGAAGGGGAGGTTCTTGGCATGACCTCGGTCTACCTGGCTGGGGAGGAAGACAGCCAAGTTTGGCATGTTCTCCCCACGTGTGTCTGGTCTGGGACAAAGAGATTAGGGAAGGAAGCCAGGAGGAAGCTCTGTACTGCCCTCTCCTGACAACTTTCCCCCGTAGAAGGGGAGAGCTCAGAGTTCGATCCCCCTCTTCCACCAGACTCCACCTCCCACAAAGGCCTTCGCTTTTCCATCTCCATCAGAGACTCAAAGCTGGTGCCCGCTGCCCTGCCCCAGCCCGCATGCATGCCCACCCTCGCTCTATCCCTCGGGTGGAAGGGCCCAGGAATTGGGAAGGAGACGATGTCTTGCCTAATTGAATCCTGGAGCTGTGTCCAGAGGAGACCCTGCCCTTTGAACGCTAGAGTTCAGCACTGTATTCTCCAGGGCAAGAAGAAACTTAGGGGTAGCTAAGCTCCCCAAGTAAGTGAGAGGCAGGCTTTCTTGTTACTCGCAGCCTAGGGGTCTCCTCACCTGGGCATGGCTGATGAGCCATCCAGGGCATCAGTTTGAAGCAGGAGGGGGATTTCCTCACCTGTGTTCACAAAGGCTAGAGAGTCTGCACTTACCTGTGGTCACCCTAGAGCCAGGCTGAAGGTGGGCAAGGGAGTGGTACACAAGCAAAATGGGCCTCCACGCAGCACAGATGGCAATTCCCTGGGGGATGGTGCTTTCCCAGGTCCAACCCTCCGGCCATACCTGGACAGTTCTGTACACACAGTGGAGACCCCACTTCTAGACAGTGAAGAAAGCCTCAAGATCTACAAGAAGATGCTACATTAGCACCTCACCTCCCAGGGCCAGGAAGATAGCGACTCTCAAAGAAGTGTTTTCCAAGGAGCACCCTGTTAATAGATATTCTATTTTTTTTAATGCCATGGCAAAATTAGTCTAGGATGAACTGCATATTACATTTTTCTAGTGCAGTTTCATAAGGCACATCAATATAGTTCAATATAGTGAAGGCTCTGAAAATTCCTGCAAGAAACAAACCTTTTTAGCCTGTTCCCCAAATTTATTTGCCTTTTTTTCTCAAGTAATAATATCTATTCAAGGATACCAGTATTCTACAAAACACACCTTAGGGAGCAGTATTCTAAGAAATTACTGAGTAGCCTGCCCCAGCCTCTCCCTCCTTCCAAAGCTTTTCTATCAAGTTATATCATCTTTTCTACCATACTACTAATTAAAATGGGGTTTCCTAAATCATTTGAGATGGGAGTGGTTGTGTTTTGAGAAAGGAGCCACCTTTCTCTGTATGACCCAAATCCTATCCAGCCCAAGGAAAAGGTGGACCACAACCCCTGTGCAAATAAGAGAGATGGAAAAATGCAGCGTTAGAGTAGGGGAGATTTCTTTTACCCCCCAAAAAGAGCTCTGATATCAGGGCCCTGGAAACCATTCAGATTGACATCTGTCCCAATGCCTATCCTATCAGGAAAGGTCTTTCAGGTTTGCAGATGCCTGCTGGTGGGAGTTGAAGGCCAGAGCTGTACTTCCATAACCAAGGAGCCCATCTGCTGCCTTGGACATGGCCAGGCGAGGGCAATGACTGTCACACAGCAGCCTGCTCAGGTTCATTCATTCATTCAAAATGTATTTACTGAGCACCGACTCTGTCTCAGGCAGTTTTAGACACTGAGGATAGAGCTGTGATGTTTACATTCTAGCAGGAGATTGAGACTCAAAGTATGCTCAGAATGTTCCTGGAATGGTTAAAATAGGACCTTGTCCTCGGCCAGTGACCTCAGACTTTATCGTTCAGAGTGGCACACAGGAGGCACTAGGGTCAAATGCAGCGTTCAGGTCAAAATCAGCTTACAGACATGTTTTATTTGGAACATACATTGTTTTGAAAAACGTTTGTGCCAACATTTAAAAGAAAGTTACAGCTCAGGACCTGCATTCCTACAGGACCACAATTGGGTGTAGTTGAATCACTGCTACCCCTTAAGATGAGTTCTCCGGGTTATCCTGACATCGGCCATGCACGAGGTCTCCCCAGCATTGAAACTGAATGCTGGTTGCTATTGCTGGTTGCTATTTATTATCTGCTCTTCACTATTTGATTGGCCCACTGGTTAGTTACACTTCCCCCTCCTTTTTATTGTTTCCCTTTTTTGGTTGTTGTTTTTTACTTTCCCTCAAATACTTGAGTGATAGTTCTTAAGAAGGGAAATTTTCCTCTATACCCATTGTTCCATCAAGCGTGAGAAAGCAAGATAGTCCAGGAGGGCTCTGCCTTTGACAAAAGAAATTGGACAGCACCTATTTGTGGAAGTGAAGATATTCCTATCTTTAATTGGAGTGTACCTGTGTCTACACCCAGACGTCTCCACTCATGATACCTGCCTTCCTGGCCTCTATAGGCAATCATGAGCCTTGGGACATAAAAGCCATGAGGTTTTCCTATTATACATGCAGATTAGGTCCCACAACCAGCTTTCTCCCAGGTTCCCAGGCAAGATAACTGAAGAGTTGGAGAAACATTGCTCTCAGAAGATAGTTCCATTTCCTTTTAGAAGTTCCTTGTTGTATAGCTGTCCCTCTAACTTCCTTCTGCTATAGAGATTACAACCCCCTGTGCCAGTTATTCAGTGCCCACTCTGTGCCTGGCATCCTCTGGGCAACAAAGGATAATTCAATTTTGCAGAGCATCCCAGGCCGAGGCATCACCAACCACTGACAGAGAATGCTGATCACATCATACTCTGTGCATTCCCACTTTGGTATATTATGTCTAACCCAGAGATGAGGCTGATTTTATTACACCATTTTCAAGTGTCTGTATCTTATACTTCTTTATTTCTCAGCCTCTCTCTGGGCTAATCTCATTTAGCCCCTTTGCAAATTAAATGCATCTCATTAAACCAAACCCATTTCGGACAATGCCCTTCAGGTGTGTGCATCTTAGTGCATCTTTCATTTTAAGACAAGTGTTTGATTTATTTTTCATCTCATTACTCTCTTTAAAATTATGTGCATCTCATTACACTCAGAGCAGTGAGACGACTTATTTCAGGTGTAGACATTACACCCAGTATTATCAGGCAAGAATATTTTTTTCATTTCATTATAGGCCTTACAATTTATGTACATCTCATTACAATCAGCCATTTAAGACAATTCCCTTCAGTTGTGTATATCTCATTATACCTTTTCATTTTCAGGGTTTTTTTCCATCTTATTACACCTAAGCATTATTCAGAGGACTCACTTCGGGTGTGCAGATCTCCCATCCACCTGTTATTTTGTGAATTTTTGGGTGGTTGCTTCCCCCACAGTACTGCAAGATTTGTATCCTACCAAATCATTTCAGCTGGCGCCACCTGCCTGTGCGCCTCCCATGCCCCTTTGTGGGGAGAGGGAGAAGACTGGGCTCCCCTGTTGTGGTCCAGACTGCCAATACCTCCCTCTTCCCCACAGGGACCATCCAAGTTCACCTCCTCACTCTCACATTGAGGGGATCAGAGGAGAGGGTTGGCTCCTCTTCAGTTGATATTCAAGAGACTCTAGTCCTGTGGATGCTGGCACAGCAGGTTCCTGGCTTCTCCTGGGGAACCTGCCCCTCTGCGTGGACAGCCCTCAGCCCTGCTGGAGAAGCTGAGATTGACATCCCTGGCCAGGCTCCCATCAGCCACACTGCCTCAAACTTCCTGTTGCCCTTCGGACGGGATAAGGCTGTATATCCCTGTGGGGCCACATTGTGGAAGGAGATGAGATAACTTTGCTCTCCCCAGCTCCTCCGGCCCCCAGCCCAGGTGTTCTCAGCTGGGCAGCCATCTGAGAATTGCTGAGCAGGCTTTAGGCTTTCTGAGTTGCATTCCGTCCCCAATCTACTAAATCAGAATCTCCAAGGGTGGGCCCAAAGAAGGTGCATTTTTACAGCACCCCTGAGATTCTGAACCACTCCCTCACCCAAGCCTGATTTCAGAAAAGCATCTGCAGCGCAGTTGCTCTGAGCTGAGAACGGCCTCCTGCGCATAACCGCGCAGAACAGAGCCCAAGCCTAGAGTAAGAATCTTTTCTCAGTCCTGGAAAAGGCACTGAGGGTCAGTAGACCCAACTGGGCCGTCCTATATAGGAATCCCACCCCTAGCACACGGTAAACTGTCATCTACCTTTACCATCACCTCCAACCTTGGGAAGCCCAGTGCCTCCTAGGGCCGAAAGGCTAGTTTTTACACAAAGCACCTGATTCCTCCAGCTTCTACCCACCCGTCTGAGATCTGCCTTCTAAAGACAGAAGGAGCAGAACCCATCCCGACTGTTTAATTGGTCCTCAAGGTGTAACTAATTAATGTGCGGGCGTGGCGCTTCGGGCAACCTACAAAGCCTTCCTCCAGCCTCCAGTTAATCCTCCTGCTCTGTGGTCTGATAATCATAGAGCATGTGAGGCTTTTCTGAGGGTGTGCAGGGTGGTCTGTGTGTTTCTCTTCTGCCATTCTACCTGTCTCCTTGCAGTGAAAATAGAATCTTTCCACAAAGTGCAAAAATAAATTTGTTCACCGCCCCTCCTCCACCACTCCCCTTGAATGAACCTGCTGAGAAATCAGAAGGTAATCCATTTCCACCTCTTTGCTCTGCCTCCTTGTCCAGGAGAACGTGGAGGCCACTGGCTGTAGGATCAGCAGGTGTCAAGGCTCATGGGCCACCACGAAGCAGGATTTAGTGACGGTAAAGGGTAGGGGGAAGGCCAATGAAAGGTATGGGTGAGGGGACAGGCCACCCTGTCTTGTTTTACTTGCTTGTTTTTAAGTCTGTGTCTATTGGATGGGAAAACTGATCAGGTCCCCAGCAATAAAGAGGTCACAGTGATTTCTCTATGCTCCTTGAAGTTTACTAGTAAAAATAAGTCACCATTTGTTGAGTACTTAGCATATATACCAGAAACTATAGATTATTCAAGATAACCCTGGAAAAATTACTGATATTAATACTAATATTTCCGTTTCTAAGATGAAGAAACTGGGGCTCAGAAATTAAATGATTTCCTCAAAAACTGCTTAGTCAATATGTCATAGGGCCAGGATTTGAATGCAAGGCCAAAACTCACGCTCCTCCTGTGAGGTAATTTGCCTCCCTGAGCCTAAGCTTGACCAAGGCTAGCCTTGGAGTCAAGAGAAGAGGCCCCCTCTTCCCTGAAGTCCTCAGAGGTGCTGGCTTGCCTGCACCACCTTTGTTTTTCTCCTCTAGGGTCCCCAGATGAGCAGAAAAGACTTAGGATCCAGACCTTGGCTGGCTTCTCTCACAGCAAAGCACCTACCCAGCGGGCCCACCAGCTCCTACCAGGAACCTTCTGCTTGTAGAGGGGAGGGAGCAGGACCCAGGTCCTCTGAGCTTCAGAAACTGCTCTGCCTGCGTCTCTAGGAGCTGTGCTACAGGAGGGCGGGGAGCGGTCCCGGAGGAGAGGCTGCTGCGACAGGCGGGAGGGTGGCCACCGTGAAGTCAGTCGTGCCCTGGCAGGTGGGGGCACAGATGTGTGGGGGGCGGTTGATGTGTGAGGTCAGGGCCTGTGGAGTCCGAGTGGACGCCAGTGATGACAGCTGACGCCGCAGCCTCCTCGCCCTCCCTCCAGCCACGTCAGCCCTCCTGTGCAGAGGGCGAGGCCGGCTCTAGGTTTTCAGGCTTGACAGCTAGACTGATGGCAAAAGGTTGGAAGATGCAGGAAGGACAGAGAAGGGAGTTCATCTGTGGGAGAGAGAGCACAGGATGCCCCAGACAGCGCTGGGCAGTCGACCGAGCACACAGGATGGAGGCCAGGGCACCATCAGACTGGACCACCCGTTCTTGGGAAAAGCAAAATGACTCAGTTCAAGGAGGAGGGGAGACGAGAGGACGAAGTGCGGAAGCACTGGGCGGCACGGACAGGAACACAGACACCTGGTTCTTCCACTGACTCGCTTCTCGGGTTCTGTGACTCATTTTCCTGCTCTGTGGCAGGCTGGGAGCAGAAGAGAGGCTGAGGAGGGGGACACAGGATAGAGAGGGAAGGGGTGGGGAGACTAACTGTGCTTGTGTCTCTGGGGTTTTTTTCAGACAAAGCTATTATCAAAATGCCAACCAGCTCCTGCCTGGCCAATTTGCATACTCCATGCTGTGCTCTTTGAGGCATAATGAATATGCATGAGCTTGGGTGGGGTGTGGAGCTGCGGGGCTGTGGGCTAAGGTGGCTCATTGTTCTTTTAAAAGAAAAGTCCTGAATGTGAAGCTGAAGCGCCATAGTGGCCTCTGCTTCCCCTTCCCAGCGGAGGGAGCAGGAGGGCCAAGCCCAGGCTCGGAAACCCCAATGACCAGGCTCGCATCCGCTCAAGGAAATAAATAATCAGGCGCCATCAAGAATGCGAGAGTCTCTTCTGCAACAGCAGCGTTTAATTACTCTCCTCTCCACGCATACTAATCACGCAGGCCGGCTCTGATGAGAGTCACCTCTCCTGGCTCCCGTGGAAACGCGGCTGCCTCTCCCATTTCATGCTTCTGCTGCGTGGACGCCCTGGGGCTCCCCTGCATTTGGCCTTTGGTGAGGTTCAAATGCTCTCGGTGCGGTGCTGGGGCTGTGGTGGGAGTTCCTGGGACACAGTGATGCTCGGAATCGCGTGCAACAGACTCACTACACCTGTTGGGTCCGGTTCATCACTGGCCCTGAGATCTGGGAGGACATGCCTCCTTCCTCGCAGTCCCACCTCTTCTCCTGCGACCACTAGCTAACGGTCCTCCAGACATGATTCCAGGACCATGAAAATGGCTTATTGACTTGTAAAAATTCAATTTATCCCACAAACTTTGGGGCCACGACACCCTTCCCTTTTAGGTTTTCTTTCTGAGTTCTCACATCTGTCTCACAATCTGAAATAGAGATAGAAGGTCAGGGGATTCCATTTGGAAAATGGCTGGTCCCCACATGATCCTTTGTTTCCACTCTACACAAATAAAGGCTGGCATCTGGCTCTACGTGGAGTCTCGTTACCAGGACGTGACCAGACCAGGCTTAGCAAAACCCACCTGGAACCCTTTAACTGACAGGAACCCACCTCAGTAAAGAACCTACTGGCCAGACCAACTTTGAGCCTACCCAGGCTAGGCTCTCCAGCACTTCTTGCCGAGGGCAACAGTGGGAGACTGGAGTCTGAAGCATTAGGACGCCCTTGGACTTGACCTCACTTACACACCCCGGAAAATGAGAAGTGGGCACAGCTGCGGGGAGAGAGTTACACTCGCCTATTAGCCACACCTGTATTTAACTCAGGTTTCATCTCTAAGAGTCAGGACTCCAGCAGCTCTGAAACTAGAACCCAGCTTCCCCAAATCTTAATGCGAATACCAAGGGCCTGGCGATCTTTGTCAAATGTGGAGGCTGACGCAGCAGGTCTGGTGGGGCATTCTAATAGGTACCTAGATGTCCTCGCTGCTAGTCTGGGCACCACACTTTCAGTTACTAGGACAGAGGCAAGAGCAACACAAAACCATGAGAGTTTATCCCCTCTAAGCTCCTGGTGTAGACAAGGGGAGAAAAGAGGAGACACGTTGTCCCCATCCTTCCCTGCTCACCTCCTCCTAGATGGAGCGTCTGCCTGACACTTGAGATTTATTTTTAACTGCCAGCAGCTTTGATTAGCTTGTCTCTGCTGCTTCAGACACCTGCTGGCAGGATAAGTTGGGGAAAGGAGTGGCTGACCCAGATCTGACAAATCAGGCAGGAAGAAAAGCTCCTGGGGATTCACTGCATCCCCTTTGCTGAGACAGGTGAAAAACCCCATAGCTGGCAAAGTGTAAACTTGCTAATGACCTCAGCACCAGTGACCTTTTGCGTCCTTAGCCAGAGTGCCATGAATGCAGGACTGAAGTCATCCCTTTTTGTCAAAGCACTGATACATGTCAATTTGTTGACCCCTGGGGGTTTGCATGAGTATCTATGGTTGCTTCTATCCTCCCAGAGCAGCCAGGGCTCTACCTGCGCAGAAGTTCTGCTTCACGTAGATGCCTGAGTAAGAGCCGCAGGTGCTGGGGCATCTTCCCTGGTGGGGTAAGGCCCCCCTCACCCCAAGGAAAGATTGCTACTGTGCTGCGGCACTGCTCCGAGAAAAGCAGATACCCAGGAAGTGAGAGGCAGGGCACCAAAGATGCCTTCTTTTGTCACCTGTACCCATCCGTAGCCTTCTGTGGACTTGCCAGTGAGATAAAGCCTGGCCCTCCGTGTGGCATGCTTTTAAAGCAAACACTGAACTCCTAAGAGTGAGAGGAAGTCTGACTGGATCAGAGACCTCAGAGCTAGTCTGACTACTGCTTCTGAACATCCTGCTTCTTGGTCTCCTCATCTGTAAAATCAGGGTAATGCTGTTACCTACTTACCACGTTGGGTGGCTGTGATGTAAGATAATAACGGGTAGAGAATGATCAGGTCAATGGCAGGCGCATAGCAAACGTTTGGTAAGAGTTTCCCTCCTAAGACAGGGATGTGGGATTCCCAGGCTTAATATCATTCAAGCCAGGGGATGGAAGCCAGGAAAGTTCAGGTTGTGGTGCAATCAAGGCAGTATCCAGACATGAAGATAGCATTCACCTGCTGCTCAGTCAAGGTGCCTGCACCAAGGCCAGGACGGCATACAGAGTGCAAGCTGGGGATCCCTGGGCTGCAGGAAGGGTGCCCTAGGGGAAGGCAAGCACGGTCATGGGATACAGTTCCCAGGGGGTCACTGGGGCAGTCAGCAGAGCAGTCACTGTCCTCCACGCTGGGATCGCTCAGCAGAGCTGACTCCCTCCAACCCCTGAGTCTCCTGTCCCCTGTGGAGGGGCTGGCAAGGGCCTCCAGGAGCCAACCTGGCCATCCCAGAGGAGGCACTGAGGTTGCCTGGCTCCTCCTTGGGGCTGACTTTATATCTGCTAATTTCACAATCTCCCTGCTAGTCTGACACCCACTCTAACCAGTAGCTCCTACAACAGACACGTTGTGCCTCTCCTTTAAAGTTGCCAGGCAGCAAGATCTTAGGATGCTGTGAAAGGCCCCCTCCTCCTGTGTGTACCCTGTGCAGCCCCCCACGACCCACAACACAGCATGCTCCCCATCCCTGAACACCAGGTACAGGCCTCACAACATGCTGGGAAGGTGGCTACAAACCCTTTCTCTAGGGTTTGGAACAGGGGGCCGGTGAACACCACACTCCAAAGCACATGAAGAATATTAATTAAATGAAGGTTTATTTCAAAATTAGTCTTAAGAGAGTAAGCTGTTTTTGAGGGCTGGAGCCAGACTACACAATGAGCAGTGAGCACGCCCACCTTCCTCCAACACAGGCGGAGAGGAGGCGCCGTCACCAGCCCTGCCCCTCGATCATGCATCCAACGGTTACTAGGACTAGAAGCCAACAGCAAAGGGTCCCGCGCGTTTGCTCAGGTTTAATCCAGGTTAAGCTATACATGTTTAAATACACGTCGGAGGTTACGTAGTGTCATGCAGTCCCTGTGATGGACAGACTCGTGCTCAGTGACCTCCGCAGCGAGGCTGCTCCAGAGGGCAGGGTTAGGTAGGACAGAGCACTGAAAGAGAAGAGGAGAGGAGACAGGTCACAGCACGGTGCGGGCCAGCGCCTGCCAGCCCGGGAGTCCCAGCCTGGAGGCCGGCAGGCCTGCTTCTGCCCCCTTCCAGTCGGAGAATAATTGCAGCGAGATGTCTTCTTCCAGAAGGAGGAGGAAGACACCATGACAAATGGTAGTTTGGTATCATGATTAAGCTCACAGCCTCTGGTGTCCATCTGCCTGGGTTCAAACCCTGCATCTGGCCTTTGCTAATCCCATGACCTCAGGGAAATCACTTCACCTCTCTGGGCTTGTTTCTTCATGTATACAATAGACTGCCTCCGCCTACCCCATAGGCTTGTTCACAAGCAAATAGAAAGTGCTCAGTAAATGTTAACTAGTTTTATAAATTCACTGACATTTCAGTGGATCATGAGGGGTAAAGTCTAGCTCTCAGGCTCCCAGATCTACAGAACCCATATTATAAACCTCCTTCTAAAACCCCCTTTGAGAAATTTGCTGCTCTTTTAAACTCTTTGAGAGTCAGATGTTCGTCCCAATGTTGAGCCTAAATTCCTGCTGCAGAAATTTCAGATGAATCTCTCTGCTCCTTATGGAAACAAACAGCTCAGAGGTTCTTAGCTGAGACCCATAAGCCTTCTGAAACTGTACCCAAAGCTACCTGTGCAACTGGAGCAAAACCTAATGAAACAAAGGATCTAGAATGGCCCATCAGTGGATATTGTCTGGACTGAGTGTTGGTGTCCCCCCAAATTCATATGTTGAAGCCCTAACCCCTAGGCAGCCTCTAAGGAAGTAAAGTTACATTAAGTCATAAGGCTGGGACTCTGATCTGACAGCATTAGTATTCTCATAAGCAGAGAAACTAGAAAGCTCTCACGCACTCTCACCTCGCACACCCAGAAGAAAGGCCCTGTAAGGACACTGCAAGAAGGTGCCTGTTTACAAGCCAAGAGGAGAGCCCTTACTAGAAGCCCAATTTGCCCACACCTTGATCTAGACTTCTAGCCTCCAGAACTGTGAGAAAAGAAATTTATGTTGTTGAAGCTGCCCAGTGGTATTTTGTTTTAGCAGTCTGAGCAGACTAATACAGATTATCACACAAAGAAAGACAACCAGATAATGTGCATCTCTTAATGGAAATTTACAACCACCAATAATGCAATGCTTATCGAAAATCTGGATGCTAATCTGCAAGCCTCTTAACTTCTTCCTGTATATAATTATCTCTGCCGACCTCGCAGGGGCAGTCCGAGGCAAATATAAAATGCTCAGTAAATGTTAACTAGTCAACAGGAAATACAAAAGATGGAAGAATATATTATATTAGACCATGGGGACAAAACTAGCCAGTAAAAAACAGAATGAAGAAATTCTATAGGGTAAACAAGCTGGTTTCTCCAAGAAATAAATTTCACGGAATGAGACAGAGGAAAGGGGAACCTATACCTATTAAGAGGCTTCAGAGACATTTTATCCAACTGCAATGTATACACCATCATTGGACCCTGATACAAACAAATAAGGAAAAAAAATATGTATAGGGAAATCGGAACAGTGATTAGTCAATAAGATTAATACATTCTTTTATTTTTCTAGTTGTGATAATGATACTGTGGTTCTTTTTTTTTAAGAGTCCTTATGTTTTAGAAATGTATACTGAAATATGGATGAAAAAAATGATTGGAATTTGTTTCAAAATAATATGGAGGGGAGAAGTTGGGTAGGGGTATAAAAGAAACAGTTCAGACCGTGAATTACTAATTGTTGAAGCAGGACGTTAAGTCCACGAGGGTTCATGGTACCAGGTACCAGTCACTGTACTTTTCATATATGTTACAAGTTTCCATAATAAAACATAAAACAGAACAAAAAATTATGAAAGCATGCAGCTAATCATGACTAGTTTGTCGCCTTCCAAGCAGCTGAAAACTATTAAATATATCCTAAAAAAACTGGCTTTGTTTTTCCCAAAGAAATAGCCCAAACTCCCCAGAACTCTGACAATAAATCTTTTGTTGCTGTGGCCGCTTCTTCACGTGGAGTTTGGTGACTCCGCAGTGTTGGAATCTCTTTCTCAGGCTTCCTAGCAACCTCCAAAGGCAAGGCCCCGTTACTGCCAGGCCCTCACAATTGTCCTCTTGAGCTGCCTGGCCCTGCCCCGCCTGGTCTGGCGCGGACGCTCTGGGCGGCTGCGGAGCGCGGGCCACACCTGCAGCAGGAGTCCTGGGGGAGGGGAGCTCTGGAGGACCCCCTGCACCAGCAGGCCTGGGGCTGCTCTTACCTTTTAAAATGTAGTCCGTTAGCAAAGTGGGCACCTTCTCATTATCCTCCTTCATGGCAAAGAGAACTGGGGAAGGAGAGAGAGGGAGGTGAACCAAGATGGCATCAGGGCATAAAGCTCACTTGGAGAACCAAACAACCCAGCACCCCAAACTGGGTGAGAAATGGTTCAAGGAAACCAGACATTCCTGAGTGGTGAGCAAAATGTCTAGAAGCTTCTGTCAAGAGTCAGAACTCAGCATACTAATGGAAAAGAATACAGCAAAGGAGTCAGAATGGCCTATTGGTGACTTTTCTTTTCTCTTTCACTTCTTTTTTTCTCATCTATAATCTCTGCATCATCCCCTAAGTACATATCTTTAATAATCATAGAAATAATAAATGAGGCAATTTTAAAAAGAATCAGATTTCAGATGCAATCTAAATGGTTAAGGATAATAGTTGTTACCTTATTGAATCATGAATAAAACTGCCTTTAAAGACATTCTATTGATATAAACAGATATATTTGGAAAATTTTCTCGCTTACAACTTATTAATAATAAATGAACTTAAATTTGACAAATATTTATTTTCTATTTTCTGCCTGTACAGTGTTAGAATTTGTAGAAATGCAAACGAATCACAGACCCTCAAGGAGCTTATCGACTTCTTGTTGAAACAGTTCATGACATGAAGCAAAAAATAGAGAAGGTAGTAAGGTTAAAGTCTCTTTACAAAGTTTTTTCAATAGCTTTTTCTGTTATTGAACTAGATAGCACCTAGTCATATCCATAATTCACATTGTGAAAGTTTTGTAGAAAATTCTAAAAGAAAGTCACTGGATTTTGTTTGTAGTATCAAAAAATGAGGGAGGGGTAGTCCAATAACAGATTGCTTCATCAATAGATTCCTATAAACTAGGGTGCAAATTATCCCATGAAGTCTTTATAGCCTTATGAAAAATGAGAGAGACTTAAATGTACAAGACATGCTCATCAGTGAAAAAAGGAGGCTGCAGAACATTATTTATTAACTTTTAAATGAATAAGCAAATGCTAGTATTCACAGAAAAATCTGGAAGAATGTGCATGAAACTGTTAAAAGTGGTTATCTGAGTGAAACCACAGGGGATGTTCCTTTCTACACCGTATTTCTACAGTGTCTGGAGTTTTTCAATGAGGATGGATTACTTTATACAAGCAGAGAAAACAAGAAAGGTCCGCTGGCACTGATAGAGTCAGGAGACAATGAGTGATAGATCACCAGTCGGTTTCCATGTCTTTGCTCTCCATTGATTTCCTTGCCTAGTTCCAAGTCAGAGTCATGCAACTTGATTCCAAAGATCAAGAGTGGGTGAAGAAAAGTGGCTGACAGTGGCATGAGTCAGTGGCCTGAAAAAGCCCAAATCTGAGGCCCTCCAGTTGTTGTTTTCTTGTTTTATTTCTTCTGTGTGTTTAGACATTAAGCTGGAAATACTTTGCAACAGAACATGGGCACACTAAATGCCACACTAAGAAGACAGCCATAAAAATGCAATGACTGTGTTCAGTCAGTATGTACCTAAGTTGATCTCCAAAGTCCAAAATTTATAGGATTTGTCCAGTCGCAAGAGCTGGTCTTTGGCCTATGACCTTGACTCGGGAGTCAGGTAAAGAGGAGATGGTGCTCAAAAATTCATACCAGGATTTGCCAAAAAAGAGAACTTTCCTAACCCATGGGAGAATTAGTATTCAGGAAAGATAGCAGTTTTTTCTTTTAAAGGGAATAAAATATTGGGAGGTGGTAGACCCGCGTGATAGAAGAGAGAGCCATAAAAAGAATGTTAACCAAATGTTAACTGATAGGACTAAAATCATGATACACGATTTTACAGCCAGTATAATCCCAGCTATAGAGAAAAGACATAAAATATTATGGCTGAAAAACATCAAAATAATACCCACAGTGGAGGAGACAATGAATTATTTATTTTCCTTTGTCCGCTTTCCTATATTTCTGAAGTATTCTAAGTGATGGATATGCTCTATACTTTTTTAAATGAACTTGAAAAATATAAACAAACCTCCTGTTTCTTAATTAAAATGAAAGGGTTTCACACTGAATGCCTGAATAGGTATCTGTAATAAATTCACAGGTCTTGCTTTTTTTTTTAAGACCATGATAGAGTACTTTACATATATCAACCTTCGTAATTTGTCCAAATTATTTTCCAAATGCTTACTACCTGTGAAAACACAAACACCTATAAATGTCAGTCCATTTCTACCCATTCCCTTTTTATAAATCTTAGTGCATACTTATGCAAAGAAAGGAGTATAAAATGAGTCAAGAGAAAGCCAATGTACTTTGCATTTAAAATTCTAGATTCTCAAGGACACAGTAACTATCGAGGTAGACAGGGTTTCTGTTTTACCAGAACTTCCTGCTTTAGTTCTCCAACTGATACAAATGAAGACGTTTGGTCGCCTTGAGCACAGGAGCCCAGCAGGTATGTGTCATCCTCATCTCAACAGATGAAGACCCTCTTCCCATCCCCTGGGGTAGCAAACAGCCCTGCAGCTGGCCCAGTCCCCCAGAGGCCGCACTGCCACGAGCTGGGCAGCCTGGTTACTCGTCACTCAATGCAGTGCACGGTTGCCAGGGAGATGGACATTCCTATGATTCACTGCGCCTGTCACCACATCTCAGCCTAGGATTTTTCTCTTCCTAACAGAATCAAACTGACACTGACAGCTAACACCATGTTCCCCCAGCCCTCTGGGGGCTGTAGCATTTGATGTATATGGAGAGATTTTTGCCTACAAAAGGCTCTTTATCATCAAACACTGTTTTCTCCAATAGCTCAGAATGTTCATTAATATTTGACAATAGAGCCCAAGTGGAGGAGAGGAGGCAGTCATTTACTGGAAGGAAAACCAGACTCTATTCTTTCCATGAGCCTTACCCCACCCAAGAAACCTTGCTTCTTTTTAAAAATACACCAGCCCCATAGACCAAATTCCCTGCTTCAGGGCCACAAGTTTGGACACGGCAACCTCAAGTAGCTGAGGAGGGAAGGGGCGAGGCAGAGAATGCAGAACCTTGAGACCTGCTGGGAGAAGCCCAAAAAACTCTGCACACAAGTACTGCCCCCCACCCACCCCCTGGCCTCCTCCACGAGCTCATTTTTTCTGGCAAGCCACTTCCATTTACAGGACCCAGGGAAAAGACAAGACAGCTCAGCTATCATTGCCGAGGACTTTAACTCTACCCCGCAGCGGGGTAGTGATGCAATGCTCTACAGCACATGCTGACCTCCCTAAAGCTGTTCTAGGGAAACCTCGGGTCTGAGGCACCAGGGGTGCAATCACAGGAAGGGAGGGGAGAACAGGAGCAGCTCGCTGAGAATGATTGGAACTCACTGTTTGTCAGCATCTGGAGATCTTCCACGGATGGAGGCGAGGCTTTCTTCTCATAGGGGATGACTGTGTTCAGATACTACGAGACAGACACAGCATGCAGTGCTTGAGACATAAGCACGGTCCCTCGGGAGGTGAAATACAGGTGACGATTTGCATGGAGATTGTGCTTTCCTCTAAGAAACGCACTCAGTCGGATTTGACATCCTCGAGACACCCACGAGAATTGGCACACCACTGTTCCGGGACCGTTTCCCATGTTTGGGGAATGTCTCTTTAAAAGTAAGACTTTACCGTAGTAGGCTGGAAAAATTTCCCCCCACTCCAACTAATACATTCTTACGACACTAGAAACTTGTATTTAGGAATCCTGATGAGCTTTCTCTCCTTCAGGCTGAGAGCAGAGAACATTTTAAGGCGGGGGGATGAATGATATTTTCTTATCCTTTGCAGAGCAATTTGAGAACAAATGGTTTCTCTTTCGTCAAAAATGACAGGTGAGAGAACCTCAACCCGCTCCGGTCTTGGATGTTGGATTTGCTCCCTCTGCTGGGTACGAGGTGTTCCTACAACAAAATCATCCCAGGGCCCAGCGGGTTAGCCAAATGGTACCAGAGAGACCTTGAAGGTTCTAAGGGAGCCTGGGGAGAGTGAGAATAGCTCCAGAACACAAGCCAAAGGCTTCCTTTTTAGACTTGATTCTGCTACGAGCAGTGTGGCCTCGGGAAAACGCCTAATCTCTCTGGGCCTTGCTTCTCACCATCGTGAAATGAGGGGACTGGGACAGAAGTTCCTAAAACCTCGTCCTGTGCTGCAGTTCTAGAATTCCATCGCTTAGCATTCAGCCACAGGTATGCCGAAAACATAGACATCATTTATGTGCACTTACTCCACAGTCTCAGACCTGTCTATTTACACAGATGCCCTCTCTGTTAGATGATGCCCTTCGGGAGGGCAGGGACCAAGACCTACTCTTCTTCGTACCCGAAGGCCTAGCAACAGAGCTTAGCAGGCACTCAATTAAAGTTCCGAACACTGTCTTAATGGCCAGGAAAGCGAGCTACTTCTCCAGCAAGTAACTGACGAAATGCAGGCAACTAGGAGACACGGCAGCGCGGGCTACAATCAGAGCAGGGCCGCTGAAGAGGCAGCCTCAGGTGGGCCTGGCTCGGCCGGGGATCTGATGTAGAACATTAGTTCTCCTCTTGGATGGGATCGACATGGATCCCCCTTTTAATGCCTTTTGTTCTTAAAACAGCTTTATTTGTAAGTCTGTAAGCAGCACAGAGTTTTAAGTGCTTTCCCTGTTCCTAGAATGTGGGCGCTCAAAAAACTGTCCAAAAGACACTTTCTATTTCTCCTTCAGAGAGGAAGAAAATGTTAGGACTCCCCTCCCCTCCCCTCCCCCCTTGCCCAAGAGCTGGGACGATTCTAGGGTACCAGCATTCCCCTGTTCTGTTGGGGAAGCCAAGCCACAAGAGTCTAGGAGGGAAGCTGGGAGCAGAGGAACTGCTGGTACCTGTTTGTCAGCCCCTGAAGAGCCAAAGGTCTGGCGGATGCCGCTCTGCAGAATGTTGGAGATGCCTTCCATGCTGAAGCGCTGCAGGACAAGACAGACCAAATCAGGAAGGGCGAATGCTTCCTGCTCTATGGCCACCACCCCAGGGACTTCTGTGTCCTCCTGAAACTACCCAGACCCATCAGCTACCACACTGTCCCAGGCAACTGCCCCAGGGCTCTGTGATGAGAAAGTAAATGTAAGACCCAGACCCAAATTTAAGCCCAAGCTTTGCACACATAAACAGCAGAGCATCAAAGACTCTTATCTTGGTACATCTCTCAGGACAGCAAGACCCCCCTGCACTCCCGGATGTCCTCATTTCAGCCTCCACTGTATAAACAGAAAAATAAATCGGTGCATTAAACTTGGGCCAATGACTATGAAAGGACCTTTGGGAAGAAAACAAAATGTCCAGACACTGGGAGGGGCAAATGTAAAGCGACTGGGAGGCTCTTTCCAAAATGCACAAGCCTCGGCCCAATTCCCCAAGTCTGGGATAGAACCCGGGCAAAGGTATTTTGAAACAGCTCCTTAGAAGATTCTGCTGAGCTTTCCTGATTAAGAACCAGTGGTTTGAAGAATCCTGTCAGGATAACAATAAAGCATCATAATTTTCCATCTTGAAGCACCTTGCTAACATCCTAAAGAGATCAGTCACACAAGCTGTGCCGCAGCAGGAGTTCTGCCCTGCAGTCAGTCCCAGGGCACAGCTCTGCCCAATACTAAACGCCTTCACCCCACTTTCTAAGGTCTTGCCTAAGAGAACACGTGCCATTTTCAATTACTTTCTAAGGTTTACATCCTGTCTCCCCGAGTAAGGCCAAGGTCCTCTGGGGCACAGAGGAGACAGAAGTTATTTTCTTCAGCTTTCTGGCCCCACTGTCTGCCCAAGTGTCCTGCTCACGGTCTGTTAGTGAGTCCCCTGCAGGCTTGGAACGGGGCCCTGGAAGGCAGGGTGGGAGGGGGGATGCACCCTGTCTTCTGACTGGGTTGCTCACATACCTTGAGAGGCATCTGGTTTCCCTTCTCTATTCGGCTGCTCTGCAGGCTCAGCCCTTTCTCTTTCCTCCTCTTTTTCATCAGTTCTCGCTGCTCCTTCTGCTTGTTCTGCACCTCAATAAGCACCGTGATGAAGGAATTCTTCACCTCCTTTTCAAATTCCAGCTCGTCCCGGTGGGCCAGCTGTTGCACCAGCTCCTCCGAGAAGTCTCGGATGGCGGCCTCCACCTGGTCCAGCAGCTCCGTCAGCTCAGACCCAGACATGTGCCTCAGCCCTGCAGGGGAGACCATCCCACAGGTGACCCCTGCGGGCCAGGCCAGAACTTGCTGGAGGGGCCCCTGGGGCCGCTGCCACTTGAGATGGGACTGCCTTCCAGAGGAGACCCTTTGCAACTCCTTAAAGGGCCAGGGAAGACCTTAGCAATTCAGGACCATGCCGGCATCGACTATAAAACTGGCAACGTGGATTGGAAGAGAACAGGAATGAGAATATCACTCCCGGGGAAAGAAAGGAGGAAGAAACAGCCCCCAAGGAAGACTGTGGCCTCTGTTCATTAAAATGTGCCTGGACAGACACACGGATTTGGTCCCTCGGCTGTCTTCCTATTAGCCCTCTGTCTCTATTATGGTCCTCGTGTGAAATGGTCCAGAATCGGGGTGGAGGGCCTTAAGGTTTTTGGCATGTGTGCTGAAGAGCAATAGAGAGGTATTCACTCCCAAGAATTGATCAACACACAGCAGACAGCAAGGTAACAGAGCTCTCTGAGGCCCTCTTGACACCCGTGGCCCTGTGTGGCAGTGCACGTATTCAAAAAACATGGGAAGCATGCAAATGGCTAGTGACATGGGCTGGAAATGAGCCTGGCTAGTCAAGACATAATAGTCTGCCACTGCGGAGAAAAGGAAAGGGTCCTGAGATAAAGGGATACAGGTAACTTTACTTTAAATGTTTGTGGCCTAAGCCTCCTCCACTTAAAATAGGATTTGAGGGGCCTTTCTAATGATCTCTTGCTTTCACCTCAGAATCCACTTTCCTTATAGTTTCTGCTGTGCCTGGGTATTTGCTGACTGGCTTTGACTTTCCTCTTTATTTTGTTCTTTGGGGCTGTGTTCCTCCTTCTGTATTTGCCATTTCAGTCTGCATGTCAGCTGTTTTCATGCATCTTTTGCTGAGCACGTCGATGTTTGGGACCTTTGTGTGGCTGAGAACAGCCTGACTGGGCAGCTGTGAATGGGAAAGCGCAGCCCAGTCGGTCCCAGCACCCCGAGCTGCCTCCCTCTGAGGCCATCACCCTGCTTCTGCTCTTCAGGGCCACAGAGTTTCACTTTCAGGACACAGTTCTTCAGCTCGTGCCTTGGCTTTTACCGCCATTCCAACCTGTGTTTGGGCCTTTATACCCTGAGCAGCCCCCCTTTCTCTCTCCGTTCTTAGGAGGCCCTGTCGGCAGACACATGGGTCCGCTCCGTCTCCCGTCATCCTGACAGGTTGATGGATTCCATACCCAGTTTTGCCGCTGCTGCATTACATCTCCTCATTTCACGCTTCATCCACCTCTTTCTTTGCAGGATCATAATTACTACAAAGCCGTGTCAGAGAGTTAATACGACACACAGAGGAGGACTGTACACACTGGAGTCAGCCTGCCTGGCTCCACCCCTTACACCGTGAATGTGGCGTAAGGGCAAATACAAATTGAAAATAAGAGGTTTGATTCTCCCTGTTGAACATCAGGGAAGAGACTTTTCCTTTTCCTCTTTTTTTTTTTTTTGTCAGAATTTCTTTTTCTTTTAGAATTCCTTTCTCTGTCCTTTTGAAATGTATGCCAATCATTTTAATGGCTAAATAAGTCTCTTGCCAGTCGCAGGACTCAGGAGCCACTGCTTTGAAAAGTAATCATCAGTGAAGATAACAGTGGCCTGACTTGTCACCTGAACCCCAATTGCAAAACCTACTTAATGGAATGGGGTGAATCCACTTAGCTGTAGACAGGAAGGAAGAATTCTTTCTGGTTCTGCCATCCCTTTAGTGAGTTGCCTGTGATAAACATTCTGGCTTAATGTTTATTCAATAATAAAACTGTTTTCTCCCTTCTCTACTTCTGTGGAGAGGTTTTCTGGGTATAGGGAGGAGATTTTGGTTTTGATTATGGTTTTCCTACACTGTTCTTGAACAAGTCACTTAACCTTATGGAATACTCAACTAGCTCCATCCTAATGGGGTCAGTGTGGGGAGGAAACGAGAATATGCAGAGAAAGTCTTAGAATGGGGTCTGGCTCATAGAAAGAGCTCCAAAAATGCCAGCTATTATTGTTACTTTTTGAGGGTTTTTTTTCCCCACTGATTTTATGGCAGCATCCTTTTGAAGAGTGGGTTCAGCTTTCTACTTAATCTGCTTGACTCTTGCTTTTGCTTAGTTTTACCATTTCAATTTTGCTCAACTGCCTCTTATCCCCCCAAAATGCTAACCTCTCTCCTGATGCCCAGTAAGAAAGTTGTTGCCAACTCCCTAGATTTGCGAGGTTCAATTAGCTACGTGGGAAGCATGTACCTGGCACAGAGTATTGTTCATCCTCCGCAAGCCCGTCCCCCAAGGGCCCTCACCTTCGTAGGACCAGTTGTTGTTGAAGGTCTGGGTCAAAGCCCGCATCTCCTGCAGGAGGACCGAGTCTGCCTGGGAGGAGGTTTCTCCCCCGTCCTCCTCTTCCAGAGCGTCCTCTTCCTCCTCAGGGTCTGGGGAGTTCTGCATCATTTCTTCAATCTCCTCGATTACCTGAAGAAGGTACACAAGAGAGTGCTAACTCTGTTCCCTGCTAGAGGGACATACTGGCTTGAATTTTGATCAGTTAAGGATGTTTCTAATTTGTGGTCTGTAAAATTCCTAAAGCAATCTTGTTACTTATAAATACTGAATAATAATAAAAATAGATCTGACCAAAAAGGCTTACATACCCTCTGCCTTTAATGTAAAGCACTCTTTCATGTAAACCTCTTCCAAGAACACCATTTAGATGAGTGCTTTATTGGAAATAAACTACTCTTTCAGGAAGCGAAGCAGAGCTGCCTGGAAGGGAACATTTACTTCAATTTGCTGAGCACTTTATTTCTAAGTGGGAAAATCCTTTATCCACCGACTTTAACAGAAAACCCAGCCCATTCATTGTCACGATGCTTATGACTAGAGAAAACAAAGTGTTCCTAGGACAACTCAAAATGAGGAGGCATTTTTATATAGAGAAAAACAGCTTCTTCTCCAGCACTCACCAAGACAGCAACAAAGCTGCCTGGCCACAAGTGAAAATAAAGAAAATGATAAAAAGGATAGGTAGCGTGTTGCAGAGCAAATGACAGATAAGAACCCAGCTCTACTCTCCCTCTTGAGGGGGTAAAGCTCTTAGAGGAGGGGGTAAAATGGGACAACTGCCAAAAGGAAGAAGTCTGAACTGTTTTGTACCCTGTTTATTTTACACGTAAAGAAAATGCAATGAGGAAAGACTACTTCTGAAAGGAGTCCGTAGACAAGTTTGGTCACAAAAGCATTTTACATTTACACATTGATCCGTTCTTGATTCTGTGATGGACTCAGGCTCCCAGGCCAGTGGACTGTGGTCTTTGAAATGGGTTTGTCATGTTAGGCTGGACCAAAGATAAAGACAGAGGCCCCTACTTTAGAATAATTCCTATTTTAGTCCCAAGACTTTTCAACTCCACTCACAAATTTAGGGGATACTGAGTCCCTGACTACTGAAGGCCACTTACAGAATGCAGTCAAAGGACAACCCCCACTTTAGAATTGTTTGACTGAGTTTCTCTTTCTCTCAGAGTAGTTGGCACTGAATTTGTGTTATTGAATTATATTTCCCCTAAAATTCACAAGAATCACTGGTAGCCCCTATTCTTTTTTATCTGGTTCCCTTCAATTTCTGGATCCCCACCTGTCTATATCCCACCTCTTTATCATAAAGTTTTGAATGAGTTCCTTGTATTGAAGGCACTTTCTGGTATCAAATGCTCCTGATGGAACTTTTTCAGAACTAATTTGAAAAAACTTGTATGGTCCCTGCTCAACACGAGCACCCGTAAATATCTGTTGACGAAAAGATTGAATAAGGAATCCAGAGACCCAAGATGATTCTCCCTAGGTAATAAAGTATTAAAACCAAAATATAATTCAATCAAATGTCAAGAACTATACATCTTTTTTTTTTACCGACAAAACACATGTGTCTCTAAGACGTTTTTGGAAAGATTAACATTTTCAGTGTTGCATGAAGCATGAGAAAATGTCCATCACACAAAAGCCTCATCTGCCACTTCTATTTTTGCAAGAACAAGTATTTTAAACCCTTATTTAAGTGTCTTGACCCCAAGTACAGTTGACCCTTGAACAACTCAGGGATTAGGGCTGCCTACCCCCTGTGCAACTAAAAATCCATATATAACTTTTGACTCCCCAAAACTTAACTACTAATAGCCTACCGTTGACTGGAAGCCTTACTGATAACATGAACACGTATTTCAATTAACACATATTTTGTATGTTAGATGTATTATAACTGTATTCTTACAATAAAGTAAGCTAGAAAACAGAAAAAGTTTTTTTCAAATTTTCCTAAATGTCCATAAAATTTTCTAATATATCCACTGAAAAAAAAAATCCATGTATAAGTGGCTGCATGCAGTTCAAACCCATCTTGTTCAAGGGCCAACTGAGCAATGAATTGTACTAAGAGGCTTATTAGCAGGACATAAAGCCAGGGAACACTGGGTCTCTCTCTGGCTGTAATCAAACAAACCCCACCCAACCCGAGTGTCAAGAAGTTATGTTCCTATTTCCTGCAGGTGGAGACCTGAGGCATAAATATAAATACTGAATAATAATAAAAATAGATCTGACCAAAAAGGCTTACATACCCTCTGCCTTTAATGTAAAGCACTCTTTCATGTAAACCTCTTCCAAGAACACCATTTAGATGAGTGCTTTATTGGAAATAAACTACTCTTTCAGGAAGCGAAGCAGAGCTGCCTGGAAGGGAACATTTACTTCAATTTGCTGAGCACTTTATTTCTAAGTGGGAAAATCCTTTATCCACCGACTTTAACAGAAAACCCAGCCCATTCATTGTCACGATGCTTATGACTAGAGAAAACAAAGTGTTCCTAGGACAACTCAAAATGAGGAGGCATTTTTATATAGAGAAAAACAGCTTCTTCTCCAGCACTCACCAAGACAGCAACAAAGCTGCCTGGCCACAAGTGAAAATAAAGAAAATGATAAAAAGGATAGGTAGCGTGTTGCAGAGCAAATGACAGATAAGAACCCAGCTCTACTCTCCCTCTTGAGGGGGTAAAGCTCTTAGAGGAGGGGGTAAAATGGGACAACTGCCAAAAGGAAGAAGTCTGAACTGTTTTGTACCCTGTTTATTTTACACGTAAAGAAAATGCAATGAGGAAAGACTACTTCTGAAAGGAGTCCGTAGACAAGTTTGGTCACAAAAGCATTTTACATTTACACATTGATCCGTTCTTGATTCTGTGATGGACTCAGGCTCCCAGGCCAGTGGACTGTGGTCTTTGAAATGGGTTTGTCATGTTAGGCTGGACCAAAGATAAAGACAGAGGCCCCTACTTTAGAATAATTCCTATTTTAGTCCCAAGACTTTTCAACTCCACTCACAAATTTAGGGGATACTGAGTCCCTGACTACTGAAGGCCACTTACAGAATGCAGTCAAAGGACAACCCCCACTTTAGAATTGTTTGACTGAGTTTCTCTTTCTCTCAGAGTAGTTGGCACTGAATTTGTGTCATTGAATTATATTTCCCCTAAAATTCACAAGAATCACTGGTAGCCCCTATTCTTTTTTATCTGGTTCCCTTCAATTTCTGGATCCCCACCTGTCTATATCCCACCTCTTTATCATAAAGTTTTGAATGAGTTCCTTGTACTGAAGGCACTTTCTGATATCAAATGCTCCTGATGGAACTTTTTCAGAACTAATTTGAAAAAACTTGTATGGTCCCTGCTCAACACGAGCACCCGTAAATATCTGTTGACGAAAAGATTGAATAAGGAATCCAGAGACCCAAGATGATTCTCCCTAGGTAATAAAGTATTAAAACCAAAATATAATTCAATCAAATGTCAAGAACTATACATCTTTTTTTTTTACCGACAAAACACATGTGTCTCTAAGACGCTTTTTGGAAAGATTAACATTTTCAGTGTTGCATGAAACATGAGAAAATGTCCATCACACAAAAGCCTCATCTGCCACTTCTATTTTTGCAAGAACAAGTATTTTAAACCCTTATTTAAGTGTCTTGACCCCAAGTACAGTTGACCCTTGAACAACTCAGGGATTAGGGCTGCCTACCCCCTGTGCAACTAAAAATCCATATATAACTTTTGACTCCCCAAAACTTAACTACTAATAGCCTACCGTTGACTGGAAGCCTTACTGATAACATGAACACGTATTTCAATTAACACATATTTTGTATGTTAGATGTATTATAACTGTATTCTTACAATAAAGTAAGCTAGAAAACAGAAAAAGTTTTTTTCAAATT